CGATAAATCACTGTTCTCTAATTGGCGGTATCATTAGTTTATACATTGATAGGTTCACAAACCCATAGGTTATAAGACAAATAATTAGAATATAACTACTTGAAGTATACATCCAATACTTAAACTTTACTTTAGACTAAATATATGCATAACTCATCACAGAGTCAGTCAGTCTGTGGTAGTCAGAAACAAAAAATGTATCAAATGACAAGATTACACATTAATTCACACCACAACGCTAAACTGGGAGTCATCGAAATTAACGACTGAATAAGTATTTTTAATATTTGAGATAATGAGTCAATTGAAGCTAGACCACTATGGAAAACCTGGGAGCACTGGAAGGCAGTTTCCTCCTAGTATAAGAATACTCGGCAGTGTGCATCCAGGTATTTCCTGGAGTTCTAGTGAGAAGCAGCGACCACTGGAGTGTCAACCGGGTCTATTGTGAGATAGTAACTCACTGAAGACAATGATGGACGTTGGCGCAACTTCGTGGATTAGCTGAAGTTGGACATTAACACCACTGGATACCGACTAGCTCAGTGAGCTAGAGGTTAAGCGTTCGCGCGCGAGACTGATAGGTCGTGGGTTCAAATTTCGTGGGGTAGGATCCCGGATGCACATTGCTGAAGAGTCCTACAATAAGACAAAATGCCCGTCTAATGCTTCCAGATTTCCCATGGTGTTCTAGCCTCAATTGATTCATAATCTCAACTATTCGAATTACTATTATATCCACAAAACCCTTTCTGATATCAAATTAATTAAGTCAAAATATTCATATCAATGGAAGTAAACAATTAAAACATAGAAAGAATATACAATTCAAAAGCAACTTATGAAGAATTAAAGAAGCTATATGAAAAGTAGGAAATATGATATTGATAAATAAAATTTAGTAGAAAAAGATTAAGAAGAGATACATTTCAACAACATTCTAAATGTATAACTTGATATCTTCAACTCTATAGATTATGATTGTTAGATAGATTTAATTGGATGCAGAAGGTCTGTACCAGTTAATACAGACCATTGAGTTGAGTAATCTATAAACTCTATAAAATAACAAAGTAAATCTATCATTAAATTCACTTGGTATCGTTTTATTTGAATCTTCCCATTGTTACTGAGATCAAGTCCTAGAATGAACATCAACTCTGAGATTCAGGTACACCCAGCTGACGAGTCCCAAATAGAACGAAAAGCACTTTGTCCTGGATTTCACTACTAACCACTATCCATCTTTGCATACAGATCTATCACTGCTTCACATTATATTTCTTAATCACACTTAGCCAACAGTCAGTATTATTGATCAACTAAATTAATCAATGAATATCTACAGCCCTAATTAGCCCATTTTCTGTCAAAATACAGAAATATTATTTCATTCATGGTATAACTATCGGTTAAAATATACATTTGATTAAAGACAATCATTGGACAGCTATATCTCATTGTTTTTAATTGTATCAACAAATGAACAATTCATCAAACATACAATTGCACAATCCTTTTGTTCTCAAGTATGGGGTTGTGAGAATTATTATGTTTTTGATTGAGATCATGAACCGATTCATGTCAGACCACCATTGAAAACCTGAAGGTATTAAACGGCCGTTTCGTCTTACTGCGAGACTCCTCAGAAGTGCGTATCCACGATCCTGTCGAAGGGATTTGAAGCTATGGCCTTCGGCCTCGCGTGTGAACGCCTAACCTCTAGACCGCTGAGCTGGCCGGCATCCGATGGTATTAATGTCGTTTTTTTTCGCCTAAAACTAAGTGTTAAACGCGATTGCAATTTACAATTCCATTTACAAACATAAATTTCTTTCAATTCCAATGGATTACACCTACACCTTCTTGTCATTTAAAGATAGTGAACTATATAAAGGAGTGAATTATATAAGATCATTCTATTTTCAATACAACGATTAAATAAAATAATACCAGGACTTTTGATGACTTCATAGAGAATTAAACTAGGCATCAAAATGAATAGATAAACAATTCGTACAGCTTTAAATGTCATTTTCTATTTGACGCTACTTTGGATGAAAAATATTGGCTATAGTGTTATAGTGTTACTGATACACACATCTGGGTAGATATTGAAAGACTACACTTTCCTGTTATGATGCTAATCGATATGTGTTTGATCTATCAACAAGAGTTTTATTTATAAATTTTTGCATCCCTCGTCCACTATTTCGTTTATAGTATAACGTTGTCATAAACACGAATAAACATACGCTCCGACCTGAATAATTAATGTTAAGCTGACGCAAGCAATACTCCTGTTGGTTCGCTATCTGCATTGAATACAACGAAAAGTCAACAGTCAGCTTCTACCACATTTATTTTAAGCACACGTGGGCTTGTAAACAAACACACTGAACTACAAGCACACCAAAAATATAGAAAATCATATCAGGAAACAAACAAGCTAAAACTGGCTGTGAATAGGGTAAGCTCTGAACAATTGGTTGACAATAAAATAAAAACAATTAGCCTTATAAAATCATCAATATAGATTGACTGTAATTGATCAGTCCTAGCAATTATACAATAAGAACATATATACATATATAATAATAATATTAGTCCACAGAGTAGTTCCCAGTGTTACTCATTTTTTCAATCATCGTTCTGACACGTGATATGATCGAAACACCAAGTCATTGAGTAAAGGGAGACACAGATAAGGGATATTCTAACTTCAAATGAAACATACTCCCAAGTATCAATGGCCATCAAGAGCAATGACATGAAATGAAATTGGCGATAGATCACAAAAAACAAGTGAAATAAGATTATGAAGTTAACCAACCAATGTGAATTATAGGAAAAGTTTACGATTTAATGCTTATTACTAAACAATTATATAGTAGTCTGTGTTTTTTTTAGTTGATCAAACAAAAAAGGAGTTTTTTTATTGTATGACGTGACAAATAAGAAAAGCCCAGATATTCAAGCAGGTCACCTTGGTTATTACCGGTCCAAAGACCGGGTAAAACAGGGAGAGTGGGTATGGGGTCAGCAAACCCAGAAAACCATAGATACAGGAGAGATGCTGCCCTGCTTTGATCACGAAAGAAAAAATGCCTCACGCACTCAAGGAGTTATTCTAAAGCTGTCCAAACAAACACGGAAAGCACTTATACGATGGGAATCTCATTAACCCACGATCATCAAAGCATCTTTCAAAACATTGAACGATGGAATCATAATCAGTGTTATTCAAAGATATGTACATAAAATTAATAGCAACGACAACGATAAAAATTAGTTTTATGACAGACTACACATAACCAGATCGACCACTTTTGCATCACTAAAAATAACACAACATCAATGGAACACGTGACAACCAGGAGAAGAGCTCGCATAGCTTCAGATCACCACCTCGTGGTTGCTAACATCAAAATGAAGCTAAAGAAACACTGGACAACTCCACAAACAGCATTACAAAGGTTCAATACAGTATTCCTTCGATAGATATACTCACAAACTCAACCAATTCAACATAGCTCTCAACAACACGTTACAAACCCTACAAAATCTACTCAAAAAAGAACAAACTACTACGGACGACAATTCGAAAGCAATTGAAGAAGCACTAACTTCAACATGACAGGAGGTGCTGGACCTCAACAAGCATCATCATCATCATTAAGAATGGATCTCTATCGAAACACTGCACAACATTCAACAAAGGAACAACAAAAAGACAGCAATCAACAACACTAGAACAAAAACAGAGAAAGATAAGGCATAAACGACAAACACAGACAGCCGAAAAAGCTGCAACAGAAGGAAATATCAAACAACTATATGATACAACGAAGGAAATGACAAGGAATTATAGTAAACCAGAGAGACGGATTAAGGACAAATAAGATGAGCTAATCACTGAGATTCAAGAACAGATGGGTAGAAAACTTTGAAGAACTCTTGAATAGACAACCTTCATTAACTCCACCGGACATCGAAGCAACACACACAGATCTCCTTATAGATATCACTCCATCGAAGATCGACCTCCACATCTCAGGGAAAGCAAGGAAAACAATTGGGAGCTTGGATGAAGCCAGACGATTTGGACTCTGTAGATGTAAATGCGATGATTGGCAAAGCAAGAGCCTCATCCCTACAGTTGAAGAATATATGGAATTCAAAACATCTATCTGCAAGCCAACATCAAAGCCACAATCCTCAATATGAACGTCAACACAGTTCTACTGTACAGAGCTGAATTTTCTAGAACTACTACAACCATCATCAAAAAGGTTCAATCATTTACAAACACTTGTCTACACAAGATACTCAATATCCGTAGCCCGAATAACATCAACAATAGCCTACTATGAGAAAGAAAAAACCAACATCCAACTGAAGAAAAAATTAAGAAAAGACACTAGAATTGGATAAGACATAACATTGAAGAAATCATCAAACTGCATCACGAAGCAAGCGTTAACTTGGAATCCTGACAAGTAACGAAAAAGAGGAAGCTCAAAGAACACACCAGGTTGGAAATCGAAAGCAGACATCAAAAGAATGAATAGTAACTGGTAAAAACTGGAAAGAATTGTTGAGGATAGAGTAAGATAGTGAATGCTATTGTTGGGCAGTCTATGTTCCTCCATGAGGGGTAACAGGAGTAATTAAGTAGTAAAATATAATATAGTTTATAAGCTGCATTCAAAATCGAGCGATATTTCAGTTATATAAATACAATGTAGCATTACCAGGGTTCTTAAATCAAACTAAGTAGATCTAAGTTAAGATCTTTGATCAATAGTTTATAAAGTAACTGTGATTGAATCATCAAGTTATTGCTATACATTACTTACTTACTTACTTACGCCTGTTACTTCCTTGTGAAGGAGCATTGCTACATATGTACAACATGAAGCAAACATACGATGAATTATCAATAGTATAATAGATATTCATAGATATTTAGAGGGAGAGAGAGATAAAACAAAACTTACAGTATATAAAGTACGTAAATCAATTGGATACTTTATTAATTCTTTATAGTTCTTAACAATTGTTGAATCTACTGGTTCACGAAAATATCGTGCCTAAATTTAAATGAAAACATCATGAAAAAAAAATCAATAATTAATCACTTGGTAACAGAAATATATATTCATTTAATACGACTATTATAACGTATATATCTTGATGAAGTTCTATTCTTTGGATTGGATAGTATAGTTGTGAAGCTTTCGTTGTTCTGCTGGACGACATCATTAGTACAAACTTTATCAAAAATTGAAGTTGTCAATGAAACGACTAGAAACTAATCATTTTATTTATATTGGCAAGTACTTCTAAATGAGGATGCCCCCAAATGCCTTGGTACGGCCGAGAGTATGGAGAGTCAGCTCTCCCTCTCGAAATGCTCTCACATGGTCACGCGTATATAGCCTCAGCCAGAGAAGTCCTACTCACTGCATTCTCATAGCGGGGTGTTGTTTACGAAATTGAGAGGAAAAAAAGCGGATGTCCAGCGCTTTAACCGGGTTCGTGGACATGACGAGTCCACTTAGGGGAGTTGGAAAACCCTCATTCCAAATCAATGGTGCACATGAGCTCCAGGATCTTGAAGGAACAAATGGTGTATGAACCAATCGTTAGTCACCGGCTACCATGGGACTGCATCTCCTTACGATGCTCCACTGCCTTGTGGATCAGACCTTTAGGTGGAAGGCTCTGGGTTTGACCTTCTAAGAAAACCACCTCCATTGGTTTGGGCACCCGAGCAGTATAACAACCCTCACACAAATCAAATGAGATTTGTATGGCGCACATGTATTTGGTGCCTCCTTGCACCAATATCTATATGTTAAAATAAGTAAATAAATGAGAATGGATCCATAAATCGATGATCAACAAATTCTCGGGTATTTATTTACTTGATATCATAATTCATGACAATCATTCAATTTTGTTATAAAGTAACTAAATGATTCTTGATTTGCTTTATCAATTAGGTCTAGAAGTTCAACAAATAGTCTGAGAACTCTGTTTTGTTCTAGTAGCTGACTGACTAACTGACTGAGTTCACAATATCTAGACAATGAACATCAACAATTGAACTGTGAATGTACCAATGAGAACAATCAAACACAACTAGATGACTCCATACACAATTGAAGGATTAAAAACTTACAAAGCATGAACTGAATAAAACTATCGAGTATTTTATCAATAATTCTAACTTTAAAAAGATAATGTTTGTGAAATACTGAGCTTTAATTAACACAATTACCTCAGTAAAATTGGTTTCAGTGTACAAAAGATGATCCTCAATATAATTTATTCATTTATTTTAACACATAGATATTGGTACAAGGAGGCACCAAATACATATGCGCCACACAAATCTCATTTGATTTGTGTGAGGGTTGTGATACTGCCTGGGTGTCCAAACCAATGCAGGTGGTTTTCTTAGAGGGTCAAACCCAGAGCCTTCGACCTGAAGGTCTGATCCACAAGGCAGTAGAGCATCGTAAGGAGATGCAGTCCCATGGTAGCCAGTGACCAATGATTGGTTCATACGCCATTTGTTTCTTCAGGATACTGGAGTTCATGTGCATCATTGGTCTGGAATCATGGTTTTCCAACTCCCCTAGGTGGACTCTTCGTGGCCACTAAACCGGTTAAAGCGCCGTACATTCGCTTTTCGTCCTCTCAATTTCGTAAACAACACCCCCGACGCGGGAAGGCAGTGAGCAGGACTTCCCTGGCTCAATATAATAAACGAAGACAAATATTCAACATATGTCATCAATTGGATACAACAGTTTGTATGTTTATCCAAAAGAATATAGAATGAAAGGATAGAAGGATAAGTATCTACATGTTTCATTGAATATATCTTAGTAACTTTGACTTTTGAAAGTAAAACAGGCTGCAGACTATCGTGGGGGAATGCTTCAGAAAAGACCTGGTTATCTTGGCGGGGAACCTGGATGTCGAGATCGGTAGGGACAGCACATGGTACGAACGAATCATGTGGCGATATGGACTGGGAAAAAAGAACAAGAATCGTGAAAGACTGGAAAATCTATGGACTTTCAACACGGTCAAAGTTGGCACCATTTTCCCTCAAAAGCGCATAAATAAAGCCTCATAGGTTTCACCGAGCTACACTAAAGAGAACCAGATCGATCACATTTGCATGAAAAAAAAATGAGGAAATTCCATGAAGGATGTGAGAATAAAGAGAAAAGCTGATATAACTTCAGATCACCACTTGATGCTGACCGGGATTAAATTGAAGCTAAAGAAGCAGTGGATAACTGGGAAAACAGCATTACAAAGGTCTAATACAGTCTTGTTTCGAGATCATAAAAAACGCGGCGAATTCAAAATAGCTCTCAGTAACCTATTCCAAGCCTTACAAGATCTACTCAAAGAGGAGGAAACCACTATGAAGACCAACCCAAAAAGGGAATGAAGAAGCACTAGCTTCAACATTCCAGGAGGTACTGGAATACATGGAGAACCAGAATAAAGAGTGGATCTTAATTGATACCCTGAGCAAGAGCTAAAACATGAAGAACAAAGAACAACTGTCAAAAACAGCTGAAGAAAAGCAGAGGAAGTAAGGGCACGGGTCGAATACACAGACGCAAACAACAGAGTGAGGAGGAGCATTAGACCCCACCAGTAGAAATACGTCGAAGACATAACAACGACAGTGGAAAATACCGTAAGAAAAGTCAGTATGAAACAACTATACGATACAACGAGGAAACTACCAGGGTAATGCGGTACACCAGAACGATAAGTCAAGAATGAAGAAGGCAAATCAATCACTGAGTCTCCAGAACAGCAGAACAGGTAGGTAGGCTGGATTTCGTAAGGATCGATAGTATATAGACCATATCGGGATACTATGAATCTTTGTTGAGGACCCAATTCAATGGGACTCATTATCATACATCAACATACTTGACTACGAGAAAGCATTTGACAGGAAACATAGAAACAACGCGTAGAATCTTCTTCGATATTATAGATAACCTGAGATTATCACCATTATATGGAACTCTTATGGGGGAATTGGCTCCAAAGTCGTTGATGAAGGATAACTCATCGATGCATTACGAATGAGGACTAATGCTAATGAGACTGCCTATACTAACCTCTCTTCATTCTTTTGGTGATTGGTTGGATCATGTAGACCTCCATATATTAAGGGAAACACAGAATGCAGAAGACAGCTTGGACGTCATTAGACGATTAGCACTTCGCAGAAAACTTTACTCTCCTATCGCATACACACCAACAAATGCATATGAAGACAGTTGAGTATAGTAGCAGTAGACCTCAACATACGCAATAGAAAAGCAAGATCCTGAAATACAACAATGCGTACACTAACTAAATCACACTTAATGGTGAAGCTTTGAACGAAGTGGAAGCTTTTACGTTCCTGGACAACATTGTCTATAAACAAGGAAGATATAAAGGCACGGATCGATAAAAAGGAGAGCATTCATACGATTGAAGAGTATATATGGAACTGCAAAGAACTGTCATCCGACATCAGAGTCAGGGTTTTCCCAATAAACTTTCAAACAGTTCTATTGCACAAAGGTGAAACTCGGAGAACTACAACTACAATCTCCGGAACAGTAGAGATGTTTATAAACTATTATCTACCCAAAGTACTTCAAACCCAGTGACAAGAGACCATCAGCAGTATCCCACCCCGGGATAGAACAAACCAGCTGCCAGTTGGGATTAAGAAATGGTGGTGATGTACAGAATACACTGTGGGGAAACCATTAAACTATCCTACAAGCCAAGCCCTAACCTGGGACTCTAAGTGCTAAAGGAGAAGAGTTAGGCCAAATGAATGAATAGCGCTTGGTAATAACTGGAAAGGAGAGCCGAGGACAAAGATGCGTGGAGAGCTCTGGTAAGCAACAAGTGTCTCAAGACGGGAAGTATGTTTAAGTAGTAAGTAGTACTAATATACAACGTCTAAAACGAGTATTACACTTCAGGAACTCCGTAGCTACAGATATGGCTCAAACTAATAGCCAATAAAATCATGACTAGAAAAATGTTCTGATCTGTCCACTTCTGCCATCATTCCAACTTTTTTGAATGTAGTTATGAAATATTTATCAACGTATAGAGAATTTCCAAATTTTATTTCTTATAGTTTGGGTATATTATTTGACAAGAACGGTGGCTTAGTTGAGCACAACTAGGAAACAGATTCGAACAATGTTTTACCCACTTTGGTCCATGAAGCGGAGTAATATAGAATCCGATAAATACCAATCAGTTAAACATAAACAACGTTTAAACTAGTACATATGTGGATTGGTTAAAGTTGCCACTACAATGAGATGAAATTACCAAGACGAATCTCAAAGAAGTAGAGATGAACACAGTATCAGTAATAGAAAAGATTAGGTACAGATAATACAATTCAAGAAGAATTCATAGGATAGAAATTATAGGATAATTTTAAAACTTAAGATCTAAGGGAAGGTAAAGAGTGAAAGTATTAGTGCCATCACAATCGATTTTGAGCCATGTCACACAACATATCCCTACTATCGCTTACAACAACCACGCAGACACATGACTATCGACCTCGCCCGCGAACTTTTAACTTCAAGTGCAGTGAGCCGGGAAGCAATGGTGATCAATGTACGATACTGTGTGGTAATCTTCAATTACCTTCGGCAGATAGCTTCACCATAAACACGGTTTAACTTCTCTGGTCGCGGCCTATCTCTGAAACTCTCCACTCGAAGATAGTCATCAGTGAGTGCATATGTTTAAACATGTACGTTTGTTCAAAGTAAAATATATAGTGCAGTCAATGAGGATCAAATGGACCCACACTGCGATTTGCTAAACTAATAACATTATCAAATGATATGATCTTAAATAAACAAGGAGTATATTCCTCTTTTTTTTTCACATAACTGAATAGAATGTAAAGTTCGAACCAGTTGCAACTTATGATCAAGGATATTAGATGAAAAAGAGAGAACTCGGTCACAATGGCACCGTTCCATTGAGTTTGATGTCATTCCATACTTTTCATTCTTCAATCTCATTTGTTCCTTTGAGTCTATACCTGTGATATTTAGATTTCCATTGCAGTTGAAGATATTTTCTGTTTTGTGTTTTTGAACTTGTTAGATTTCTCTCTTACTATGCGGATGTGATGTGTGACAAATTAAAATAATACATATTACCGCCAAATCCTATATTGATGATGAATGACTAATTGATGGAATAATATGCACGAACGATGTATAGGTGATATATATATTGATGGAAATCGATAAAGTGTTGATCAAACAAAAACAAGTAGAGCTTAGAAGGAGATAAAAGCGATAGTATTTACAAGAACATATGATAATACAAAGTTGAACAAATAAAAAAGGAAAAAATTAGATAATGATCAAGATGGAACATTGTCCTTGTAGTTAGGCAGGTTGTTACTACTTGCCAATATCTTTAAGTATATGACAGTGGAAGCGATTCGGTGAACTCACCAACTGTTAATTGGTTCCAGAGGAAGTTTCGTGTGACAGGATAGGAAAGTCAATTTATTGAGTGCATTCGCTTGAACCCCATCCTTAGTAGGGTGGAAAGAAAGCAGCTTTTGAAACAATGATCATCCAAGTTAATAACTTTGTTACCATCACAACATCTTAGCATGACAGCAGTAAATGATAAAGAGTTATTCTAAATAAGTTCCTCAACTTTTAACAAACTTTAATATTGCTCAAATATACGATATAAATTCCTGTACTACTCATGTAGTTATCATACATATGCATAACTTCTGAATGCCAAAACATGTTTTGATAAACAGAGGGTGTAACATTCATTCATGACAACAGTTACTAATCAATTGTACTTGGTAACATGGTGAAAATTTATGAATTAAGCTATATTAGATCTCATGTACATTGTCCAATTGCCCGAATAGTGAATAAATATAAGACTAGATTTGAATACATGACATTTAGGTAGAACGACGATCCACCTAAGGGAGTTGGGAAACCCTCATTCCAAACCAATCGTGCACATGGGCTCCAGGATCCTGAAGGAACAAATGGTGTATGAACCAATTGTTAGTCACCGGTTACCATGGAACTGCATCTCTTTACGTTGCTCTACTACCTTGTGGATTAGACATGACGGTTAAAGGCTCCGAGTGTGGCCCCCTAAGAAAACCATCTGCTTCGATCTAGGCACCCTGACAGTATCACAGCCCACACACAAATCAAGTAACTAGTGTGGTACATATGTATTTGGTACCCCTTTGTACCAATATTTATGGGTATAAATAAATAAACAAAATAAATAAAGTATCTAGTTTATAAAAAGATATGCAACTGAACGTTTTATGCAATGAGACGAGTTCTAGTCATGAATTAAGTAGTCAAGTTACAAAAAATAATGATAAAATAAGTGCGTTCACACATAGAAGAGTTAAAAAAAAGGATAGAAATCCTACCCAAGATTGTCTAGATAATCGATCCAAAAGAAAGAATAACATTCGTTTCAATTGATCTTCGGTAATATTACACCATGATTCTAATTGATACAATGAACATTCAGCTAACATAACATCTTGACATTCAGGACAAAGCCATACATCTGGAAAATCTGTTGCACATAAACAAGTTGCATGAAACACTCTTGGACAATAACTACATATAACAACCTAAGTAAATCAGAGGAATTTGAGAGAGAGAGAGAGAAAAAAAACGAAATAATGGATAAATCTCTATGATATGGAATAATCACTAAGTAACGTTTAACAATAACAATAAGGAACGTAAAATATGATCCTATTGGAATTTCACACTCTCTAAAACTTCAAACAAAGTGGGTCATAATCAACAAACAGAAAATTCAAAGATGAAATTACTGAAATAGTTGACTATAGAATAAATGCTGAAATGAAGATTGATTATCGTAAAGTAAAATTGAACATTTTATATGAAACGAGAAACTTCCTCAAACAAAAATCGACAAGCCGACTTTTGTCAACTTACATGTACGTGCTGAAACATGTACATTGAAAGTATTGAGAGAAGAGTCAGTGTTTGCGTCACCGAGTACATTCCAACGAATTGGAGACTGAAAGTTGTATTGGCTCTGAACAGTGTAATTCATCAGGATTCAACTGATACCGGATAAATCATTGATATTCTCCCAATTCTTCAAAATTATCAACAGACACTAAAAAACAGTATCCTCGGACTTCATTTAATCACTGTTTCGCCTCCCTCTATGTCTCTTCTTATTGAATCACATCACCAAATAACCTCATACTTGTTTATTCTCAGATATATAGATAGGTAAAAGGCGAAAGATTTATCCGCAAGAAGCACTGGTACGGCCAAGAGTGGGAAGAGTCAGCTCTCCCTCTCGAAATGCTCTCACATAGCCACGCGTATATAGCTTCTGCGAGGGAAATCCTACTCACTGCCTTCTCCTACCAGGGCTGTTGTTTACAAAATTAGAAGGACGAAAAGCGAATATCCGGAGCTCTAACCGGTTTAGTAGACACGAAGAATCCACCTAGGGGAGTTGAAAAACCCTGATTCCAAATCAATGGTGCACATGAGCTCCAGGATCTTGAAGGAACAAATGGCGTATGAACCGATTGTTGGTCACCGTCTACCATGGGACTGCATCTCCTTTCGATGCTCCACTGCCTTGTGGATCAGACCTTTAGGTCGAAGGCTCTGGATGTGACCCTCTAAGAAAGCCACCTGCATTGGCTTGGGAACCCGAGCAGTATCACAGCCCTCACACAAATCAAGTGACTAGTGTGGCGCATATGTATTTGTTACCGCTTTGTACCAATATTTATGTATTCAAATAAATAAATATAGACAGGTATTATTAATAATCTTTGTTATTTTAATTCTGTCATCAATGTCAATTATTCCACATTGTCATGCCTCAATGTTACACATTCATATACATCAATGGTTGTAGGCAACTGATGAGAAACCATAAAATAATGTGAATTCATATTATTTTACCTTAATGATTGTTTTGACTTCACTCGAACAGAAGTTAATCAAACAAGATTATATTTTTTTAGTAAGATGACGTTTTTATGGAGTATATACTGTGAATAATTTAAGAACAGAATTCAATGGTTCGTCAGCTGAAGTGAGTTGGTAGCGTATGTTTACTGGAGACTAGACTACGTAGCTGTAGCGTGAATAAGGTAAGCGATGTTGAGAGTGAGTGTGCAGCAGTAACTCAACGACGATATCATTTCGATTTATAAATACAAGCTGAATGGAAATGTAAACCCTTAAATCCAAACTCAATTGTTTAGAGATACTATATCCACCCTGTGAAATGTATAGATTGCAGTCAAAGCGCAATTTACGACTTAATTTTTTAATCACTGTGAATCGCAGGTCCGAAGCTCGGTTTCTCATTTCAGCCCAAAGAAGAACAAATCATTAAACGTTACGAATTGATACTTCGTTACAGAAAAGACAGATGATGACAGACTCAGATGATGACTCCATAATTAAAGCATTCAAACAATTGGTTAAATATTAAAATTTCGTTTAACCTAATTTGGTTTCACTTTTTTATGATTAGAATTACGACTATTTATATATAATAGGCTTTAAGACATACATTCAATGTGTAACGGTTAGTGATGCTGGTACTTGACTGCCGAAAAATCAAACTGTTGAATGCCGTTTAAAACGGACGTTTAGTACTTTAAAAGTTAAATGTTTTATAATGAGAGAGAGATTTTGTGGATATTATAGTAATTTATTCGTTGAATTCATGAGTTCTAGTGAGAAGTTGTGACTAGTGGAGTTCAACTGGGTCAGTTGTGAGATAGTAACTCACTGATGACAATGGTGGACAGTCAGTCAGTCAGTCAGTAACAAAGTAGAACTTCGTACGTAAGTACATCAGTTCAAGTTACCATATCACATTAACACACAAATACAATTGTCGATCCAAATCACATAGTGTTAGAGGTAGTAAAATGATGAGCAGTAATTGGAAACATTAGGCTTTGAAGATGTTATTCAAGGAGTATAATCCAGTGAAAAAATTTCGAAAGATAAAAAAGGGAACATGAAGAATTCAGATTAGAATTTGGGAGAACACAAAGACTGGATGCACCTGAGCCATCGCAAACGATTGAGCCATGTGTCATTCAGCGTCTCTAATCATCGGTTGCTATCATCTCGCGGATCCCAATCAGGTAGTTTACACCTACCAATATGGCTCAATCCGCTTGTCAGTGACTTAATGGATTTGTGCCACGTTTTGGTCTGGCCACCCCTAGCTCTCTTCCAACCTACTTCTATACCATAAAACACCACACGTCGAGGCAGTCGGTGGTTAGTCATACGTAACACATGTGTTATGTCCCGACAAGAATAATGAATGGTAATGCTTTGGATCCATTTGTGGACCAATTCTATACGTATATTTTTATCGTATAATTGTTATGTAATTAAACTATTCATATTCATATCTCTCTTATCATAAGCCGTATTTTAACCTATGAACTGTTATTATACGATTTTCCATTGTTGAATTATTCCATCTCTATTAGTCACTGCATCCTTCATTCACAGCCACATCTGGCTAATCCTTGTACAAATGTTGCTTCTTATTTTATTGGTACGTTGTGGTTTGTTTGATTGGTATATAAACTCAGTATGTTTGAAATATAATGATTCATATCGCAGAGGCTTGGGTTGGTGTTCTGGACTTGACTGGCTGGGCTAGGCAGGAAGGAGGATTAATCAGGACTCTAGGCTGCTCGCACGTGTTTTACGCGTCCTTGGTCCGATCGATAAGTCACCGCTCTCTAATCGGAGGTCACAAGTCATGACAACATGTCCAAGCCATCACAACTGATGAAGTTTCACTACTTCATCAATTGATTTGCCATCCTTACCTAGTACCCGATTCCTAACAACTGCATTACTTACTCCGTGCTACCAGGATATACGAGCAATGCTCAGAAGACCCGTGTGGCCGAATACTAATAACCTACGAATATTCTCTACTCTCACCCTTCATGTTTTACTGCCATAAATTAGGACGGAACGAACTGCTGAGCAGTAAACTCGTCCTTTGGTTGATAGACGGATATCTCGCCTACGCCATAAATGACACAAGTTGGCAAAAGCTAGTCGAGCCTTCTGTATCCTTGGTGCGACTTCGTCACACACTAGACCACAAGGGCTGGTGAGACTTCTAAGACAAGTGAAGCGGTCGACACGCTCAACTACTTCACTCCCTATCATTAGTTCGGGTGTCGATGCAACCCAATCCTGAAGCAACATTTTACATTTCGAGAGGGAGAATCGCATCCCAAACATGCTTGCATTGTTGCATACGGTGGTCAGAAGACTGTATTTTGTCAGCGTCTTCACCAAATAAAACTATGTCAATAAGTAAATTCCCCAGATGGTGGCACAACTTCGTGAATTAATTGAAGTTAGACATTAACACCATTAAATGCCACTCTAGCTCGATGATCTAGAGGTTAAGCGTTTGCGCTCAAGACTGATAGATCTTGGATTCATTATCTCGTAAACCGGGATTATAAATCCACACTACTATATATTCCCATACTAAGATGAAATATTCATCTAATACTTCCAGATTTTTCATGATCTAGCTTCAATTCAACTATTTTAATTACTAGATTATCTATCGATCATATAAACAAAACCAAATAACTATTATAGAGAAATACTCACTTCACCAGGTTTATGACATATCCAACAATAATCATCTGATTCCATAATTTTATTATTATTATTATTATTATTATTATTATTATTATTATTAATGATATTGCTATGTAATGGACTAGTTTCATGCGAAGAGATAGATTCATTTAATTGTATATAATCATTCCGTATACTTTCATTATTCGATAATTGAGGGATCTGTTTTATGGTAGGATTATTATTATTATTTTTTATTATTGTTAATTCAGAAGGATGATCATTTATAATTATTGATTCCTTCTTCTTTTTCTTATTCGTTATATTATTCTTCTTATTTTTATTATAATCCTTTGTAGACCATGTTATATCATCAACAGTATCTAAGTCTATATATTCATCGGATTCACTATCTGATAGACATTGTGTAAATATTTTTGATGAATTATTCCGAACTCGAATAGAATCAATATTAGCGTCATGATGTATTATATTATTATTATTATTGTTATTATTATTATTATTATTATTATTATTATTAGTAGTAGTAGTAGTAGTAGTAGTAGTAGTAGTAGTAGTAGTAGATGATGTAATATTTAAAAGTGAAGATTCTTTTGGTGACATTATCTGATGAATAGTACTACTATCAATAATATTAGTAGTATTATCATCAGATAATGAATTATATGATTGTAAAGGATTTGATTGTGATGATAAGTGTTGTAATTGTGATGATAAAGAAGTATAAGGACAAATATCAGAACTGAAATCAATATCAATTGATTGCTTTGATAAGTCATTATTAATGACTGTTATTAATTGAGTTGAATTGTTAGTGTGATCCAATTCTACTGTATTGTTATCACTGGTGTTACCTAAAAGAAAAGAAAATAGATAATTCTTTGGAAAAACATGATTAAAAATGCAAATATCATTACTTTATGAGATTACAATTATGTTGAAGATAATTATTTAATCTAACAGTTGAGATCATGAGTTAATTGAAGCTAAACCAGTATGGAAAACCTGGCGGCACTGGACGGTTGTTTCGTCCTAGTATGGGACTCCTCAGCAGTATGCATCCACGATCCCGCCTCGTGAAATCCGAACCCAGGACCTATCGATCTCGCGTGCGAACGCTTAACCTCTAGACCATTCAGCTAGCCAGCATCCAATGGTCTTAATATCCAACTACAACCAATCAACGAAATTGCACTGTGGTGTGAGCTACTTATATTGATATGAGTAGTATATAACATGAGTTAAAAGAACGTGATGTCTGGCAGCAGAAAATGGGGAAGATCAAGAAAGGAAGAGAGAGAACACAATGGGATTTTTAAGAAAACGCATGAAAAATCGAAAGGGAGACAATGGATCGGTGTTTGCAACAGAAACAGTCCAGTTTGGTTTGATGCATGAACATTTTGCAAATTGACAATTTACGATATGGTAGTCAGATTTTATTGAGATAGTCTGTAATTGTTGTGTTAAATACATTCGATTGTCCCCACCCGTGTTCATGTTCACTACAGCACCATCGGCCTGGGTTCGAATCCCATGAGGCGGGATCATGGATGCGAATTGCCGAGGATTTCCATATTAGAATGAAACAATCGTCCAATGCTTCCAAGTTTTCCATAGTGATCTAGCTTCAACTAACTTGTGAATTCAACGCATACCTTATTGAATTAACAACAATTTTTAAATCTTTTCTCTTTATATTTGATTGAATAAAAAAGCATAGCAAACTGATTTGAACATTTTAACCTTAAAATAATCATAAAAGACGAGTATGTAAATGAACCATAATTAACCTTAGTGATAAATATTAAATCTATCGATCCTGATAATCTTCTATCCTCTTTATTACAATAGACAATTAGAAAACAAGGACAATAAATCTCTTTTATTGGTATAATTCCATCATCTTATAGTATAAAATCTTATGAATCTACTGTGTGAAAATGATACATTATACTTAGAAAACCATAATTTGTATAGAAATCTGTCACTTACAGTCAGTCAGTCAGTCAGCTACAACGTAGGACCAGGCACATATGTGCATCGGTCCAGGTTGCCATACCGCATCAGCACAACAAGATGCACACTGGATTCATAGAAGTGGTTAGGTCAAAGGTGGTAATATATAAGAGAAAGTTTGCATATAGAGATATAGTAAAAGAAGAAAGAATTGGTTCGTAGAAAGAAAGATATGAAGCGATTTTAATCTCTTAGTTTAAGGGAAGACAGAGAGTGTATACACCGACGCCATTGTGATTGATTCTGAGCCATGTCACCAAGAGTCTCCAACGATTGGTTACGATAGTCACGCGGACCCCAACCAAGTAGTCTGCATCTACCAACATGGCTCAGACTAGAAGTTAGTGACTTCAGGCACTGATGCCACGTTTTGGTTTGGCCGCCCCTAACTTTCCTTCAACCATCCCAAACACCGGTTAGCATTGCACGTCGTGGTAATCGGTATTCAGGCATACGTAACACGTGGCCCAACCATCTCAGTCGATGAAGATTCATAACCTCATCAACTGATTTACCATCATTCCCTGATACCCTGCGTCTAGCCTCACTATTATTTATCGGATGAACCCAGCAGATGCCAGCAATATTTCTGAGGCATCTGTGGTCAAATACTAGTGGCTTGCGAGTGCCATCTACTCTTAATGGCCATGTTTCGCTGCCGTAAATTAAAACAGAACGGACTACCAAGCAGTATACTCGTCCTTTTATTGATAGACGGATATCTCGCCTTCGCCATAGGTGGCGCAAGTTGGCAAAAGCCAAACGAGCTTTTCGAATCCGTGCTGAGATTTCGTCCGATACCAACCCATTAGAGCTGATCAGACTTCCAAGATAAGTGAAGTTGTCAACGCGTTCGACTACTTCACTCCCTATCCTTAGTTCAGGTGTTGACGCAGACCAGTCCTGAAGCAACAACTTGCATTTAGAGGGAGAGAAGCGCATTCCAAACATCCTGGCATTGTTGTTCAGTGCTACCAGAAGACTCTGCATTTTGTCAGCGTCTTCACCAAACAGGACTATGTCATCTGCGTATTCTAAGTCGATAAGTGGACCTCCTGGAAGGAGATCAACGCCCGAAAATTCAGTCGACAAAAACGTTATTCTCATCAATAGGTCTATGAAGAAGTTAAACAAAAATAGAGAAAGTGGACAGCCTTGACGGACACCACTTGAGGTTGCAAAATCACTTACAATATATAACTGAATGACAAATGTATAATTCACTAACAATTAGGTTAATACAAGTTAATACATAATGAAAGTATATAGATATAATGAATCACAGTAGAACAGCTTTTTAAAACATGCCAAGGCTTAGAGTGTGAGCCCCCTAAGAAAACCATCTGCTTCGATTTGGGTATCTCAGCAGTATTCCAGCCCCCACACAAATCAAATGATTTAAATGGTGCATATCTATTTGGTGACTTCTGGTACCAATGTTAACGTGTTTAAATAAACAAATAATAATAATTCCACCTTTCCTAATTATTTGGACTATATTTAGCACAAGCATTCTACATGGTGATTTACTGAGAGTTGGATTAAACACTACCTATTTATTTATTTATTTGAACACATAAATATTGGTACAAAGGGGTAACAAATACATATGCGCCACACTAGTCACTTGATTTGTGTGAGGGCTGTGATACTGCTCGGGTTCCCAAGCCAATGCAGGTGGCTTTCTTAGAGGGTCACATCCAGAGCCTTCGACCTAAAGGTCTGATCCACAAGGCAGTGGAGCATCGAAAGGAGATGCAGTCACATGGTAGACGGTGACCAACAATCGGTTCATACGCCATTTGTTCCTTCAAGATCCTGGAGCCCATGTGCACCATTGATTTGGAATCAGGGTTTTTCAACTCCCCTAGGTGGATTCTTCGTGTCTACTAAACCGGTTAGAGCTCCGGATATTCGCTTTTCGTCCTTTTAATTTTGTAAACAACACGCCCGCTACGAGAAGGCAGTGAGTAGGATTTCCCTCGCAGAAGCTATATACGCGTGGCCATGTGAGAGCATTTCGAGAGGGAGACCGGACTCTCCCGACTCTCGGCCATACCAGGGCAGTTGGAAACTGCTACAACTACCACTGAACCGAAAGAAAGCAAACATTACTGGTATTTGTCATTGAGTTAACCATTGTTACACTGACATTTACAGTTGTTAAGGTAGTAGTCCAATGAGAATAGATTCAACATACGCACAACATGGTTTAAATTCGTAAGAAAAAAATGAATAAATATTGAGTACTAACTCCATTAAACCACTGAGTCAGTCAGTCAACTACAACGTAGGACCAGGCACATATATGCATCGGTCCAAGTTGCCATACCTCATTAACACAACAAGATGGACACCGGATTCATAAAACTAGTTGCTGCCTTGACGTGGTGGTCGTGCTTGCCAATCGTGATGAACCAATCGAGCTATAATGGCTGGAACAACCGTTTCTCAAGGTGCTACCATGTCAGACAGGTCGGTTGAAGAGCGGCAAGACTAAAAGCAACAAACCCAAGTTCTGAGGGCGAAGTCGTACTGCTGAATGTACACAGGTGTGACAGCAGTAAGGTGTTTCCTTCAGACAACCAGCATGACAGCGATGCTGCCTTTCCACAAGGAGGGGTGGGGTTAGAAAAAGTCGACCCTAAAAATGCACACCTCGCCTTATCCCACGGATATCCGTCTCCAGCAGTAAGGTCTCAACAGGTACGGAGCTAACACAAAAATTACCCATAAAATGGTCGTGTGTGACCGACCTCAAGTAGTTGTCCCTTGGGCACTGCGGTCACGCTCTCAGGTCACTAAGACCACCTCTAATCCAATTTCCTTATCAGGTAACTCCAGAAGAACCCTTCCACAGTGTGGGCAACCGGGAAGTGATAACCGCCCTCATACTTCTAACAGCACTCAAGACCACTGTATTCATAATCAACCTCCGTCTTCACTTCCTTAAACCACTGAACCCTTATTAAATTCGAAACAGATTATTATATAATCTACAAACACATGATTGATATTCCAAATAGGGAAATGGTTATTAATAACTTTATTAATCATGAGCTTTATGCTCAGCAACCCATACAATGATGATCGAATTTCTCTAGTTAGCTTATATAGTTCCTGGACGGTACTCGCTTCGACGGTACGGCCGAGAGTGGGGAAAGTTTGGTCTCCCTCACGAAATGCTCTCACATGGCCACGCGTATATAGCCTCTGTCAGGGAAGTCCTACTCACTGCCTTCTCCTACCAGAGGTGGTGTTTACGAAATTGAAAGGAAGAAAAGAAATTTCCAGCGCTCTAAACGGATTGGTGGACACGGAGAGTGCATCTAGGGGAGTTAGAGAACCCTGGTGCACATGGGCTCCAGGATCGTGAGGGAACAAATGGCTTATGAACCGATTGTTGGTCACCGGCTTCCATGGGATTGCATCTCCTTACGATGCTCTACTGCCTTGTGGATCAAACCTTCAGGTCGAAGGCTCGGGGAGTGTCCCCCTAAGAAAACCATCTGCTTCGGTTTGAGCAACCGGGCAGTATCACAGCCCTCACACATATCGAATGACATTTGTGTGGTGCATATGTATTTGGTGCTTCCTTGTACCAATATCTATGTGTTAAAATAAATAAAAACTAAAATTGGAACGATACATAGATGATTGGCATGGCCCCCGAGCAAGGATGACAAGCAAAATCGTGAAGCGTTCCATATTTTTGCCCCCAAACGCCCTGGTACGAGCCAGAGTGAGGAGATTTAGCTCTATCTCAAAATGCTCTCAAATGGCCACGTGCACACTGCCACTGTCAGGCAAGTCCTGCCCACTACCTCCTCGCCACATTACTGTTGTTTAAGAAATTCAGCGAATGTCCGGAGCTCTAACCGGGTTGGTGGGTACGGAGGACCCACCTAGGGGAATTGGAAAACCCTCATTCCAAACCTACGATGCACATGGGCTCCAGTATCCTGAGGGAACAAATGACGTATGAACCAATCGTTGGTCACCGGCTACCACGGGATTGAATTTTCTCATGTTGCTCCAGTGTCCTATGGGTTAGATGTTTAGGTCGAAGGCTCCGAGTGTGACTCCCTAAGAAAACCACTGGCTTCGATTTGGGTACCTGAACAGTATCTCAACCCTCATATAAATCGAATGATTTATGTGGAGTATATCTATTTGGTGACTCATTGTACCAATGTTTATGTGTTTAAATAGATAAATAAACTTAGAGTAAGCTTTTTAAAGCCAAACCACAAAACTCCCTAAACTATAAATTTTAAACTTGTTAGCATTTATTACCATGGGGTATTCTATTGCCTCGAGAAAATACCACTAGATATTCAAAATGTTATCGTTCAAAGATGAACCTTCGAACACTGATAGATAATCCTGGCTACGAATAACATTTCACTCCATTACACGAATCAATAAAACTGAAGTTTTAAATGATTCAATAACAAAGTCGTACAGTAACAAATAGTCTAATATTTGCATTTTAAAAAAAACAAAGCAACAACAACAACACTGATTACTTACCTGTTTGTGTATTTGCTAAGGGAGGTGTAATATCAATATTATCACAAGAAACATTGGATTCAAGATGCATTTCTTGTCGAGCCTAGTGAAATATAAGTATTAATGAAACACTTATATATATATACATTTTTATCTAAATCAAACCAATGTTTAAAGTAAATGTTTTGGATTATAAATGAAAGTTTAAAGCTTACCAATTTAACTACTACAGGTTGTGAAATCATAGACTAAACAGGGACACAGAGAGTCCACCTAGGCGATTTGGAAAACTCTGATACTAAATCAATGGTGCACATGGGCTCCAGTATCCTGAAGGAACAAATGGCGTATGAAACAATTGCCGCTGGCTACTATGAGACTCCATCTCCTTACGTCGCTTCACTGCCTAGTGGATTAGACCTTTAGATTGAAGCCTCCGGGTGTGGTCCCTTAAGAAAACCACCTGCATTGGTTTGAGCACCCGGGTAGTATCACAGCTCACACATAAATCAAGTGGCTTGTGTGACGCATATGTATTTGGTGCCTCCTTGTACCAATGTTTATGTTTTTAAATAAATAAATACAGAAATAAAACTACGCAAATATAAATTCTAGGTATCAGTAAAAAGCGACATTAATAAGTTTATATTATGTGGCAGATGATTTTTTAGTATAACTCTAGAATTGTGTCATTATTGAAATAACCAAACGATAGAGGGTTTTAAAGAACCACATATATATTTTTTCAGCATTTAATAGAGTTCCTCTGAGTCATTACTGTTATAGAAATCGTAGAAAATCGACATAACCACCATTACTTCGATAGTCCAAAACGAAGTTTTACTTAAGATTGATATATTATAAGCGAACCGAATAAATATCCTAAACAGTAGCCAGCGAAACGAGAGAATTAATTCATGAATGGGCTAATGTATATGTAAGTAAATGAGTAACAATAATCCGAAACCTAAGCAGTTGAAATGTAAGTAGGTAAGCGGATATTCGTACAAAGACGTTCATATTTAGAAGAGCACATTCAAGAAATTTCATTATACAGAAACACATACAAGTTATCGATAGGATTAAAAATGACACGTCTCTGATAGCCTCATAAGCTAGGCTTAGGTCTAACTAGTTCAAACAAGAAACAAGTTTACGTAAGCACAATGCTTTTATAAATGACAACTTTCAAAGCAAAGCGGAAGATAAATAGTAAATACATGGAGCATATAGACTGATTTTTAATTAATATTATCCTAATCTTTCATTCGCAACTTAAAGAAGGGTGAAATGAACAGATGTATTCTAGCCCAATGGTTGGCAGGAAGATATTTAGGATGCACGACTGCTCATGAAGGCAAACAAACATTAAACGGCTTTTTTTCACGTATGTTGAAATTTTATCACCCGCTCAACTCAGAAGATTGAATAACAATACTGATGTTAGTTAGTACAAATACTTCTCACCCTACTGTCAACTTGTAGACATACATAGATCAATCTGGACAAATACTTACAGAAAGCAAAAAGACATCTTAAACATTCTTATGCTATTGTTACATTGGCATCAAAAGAAAGAATTTTGTCTTTCACAGTTCACCAAGTACTGGACAAAAATTATCGAGCGGTCTTAAACTAAGGAATAAATGACTCAAAAATGTTATCCAAGTTAATAAACAGTCAGTGGTTCACCGGGTCCGTTGTGAGATAATAACTCAATGATGACAATGGTGGATGTGTCGCTCAGTTTCGTTGATTGGTTGAAGTTGTACATTAACACCATTGGATACCGGCTAGCACAGTGGTCTAGTGGTTAAGCGTTTGCGCGCGAAATCGATAGGTCTTGGGTTCGGATCTCGCGAGGCGGGATCGTGGATACGCACTGCTGAGGAGTCCCATACTAGGACGAAACAACCGTCCAGTGCTTCCAGGTTTTCCATGGTGGTTTAGCTTCAATTAACTCATGATCTCAACTATTAAAATTAAAAATGATACTTGGATATTTACCATTTTCATTTGTTTCAATCTAGAAATAGCATACAATATAGAGCGACGTTTCCCCGACGATGGTGTTGATGATACTTCAGCTGAAATTTAGAGTGAAATGAATATTTTTTTCAGTTGGATTGTATGGAGGTGGAAAAACAAAACAGTTTTTTAGGAAAGTTTATGGGAAGAAATTATGAAGTGAATAATACACTATTCAACAGACCATTTAACTCAGCTCTATGTATACTTTGAATTTTGTAACCGGATCGTATAACTTAGTCGCCAATCGATTACATGGAATTATAATTAGTAACCAAGTTGTAATATAAGGTTATTTTTCTGAAGAATTAATGGATGAATGGGCGAATGAAAGAATAGAATACTGATGGCCAATGAATGATATTATGTAGCCAAATGATAACTGCTCAATAACATACCAAGTATTAAAATAAACAAGTCAGTTAAAACATAAGACAATGGAAGATACGGCTACGGAAAGTAAGAACTAGTTGTGCTAATGTGTTATGGTACATATGTGCCTGGTCCTACGACGTAGATGACTGACTGAAGAACTCATTATAAGGCTTAATTCTTTCATGGTAAATCATATACATTATTATTGTTATCAGTATGGAGTTGTGGAAATTATTATGTTTTTGATTGAGATCATGAACCATGGATTGGTTGAGGTTAGACATTAACATAGTTGGATGCTTGAACAGTGGTCTCGAGGTTAGGCGTTTGCGTGAGAGATGAAAAGACTCAGGTTCGAATCCCGCAGGCGAAATCGTGGATACACATTGCTGAAGAGTCCTACAATAACACAAAACGGCTGTCAAGTGGTTCCAGGTTTTCAATGGTGGTCTAAAATCAGTCGGTTCATGATCTCAATCAAAAATACAGTATTATTATTATTATTCAGCAAATACCTCAGTAGCACCTTTTTCAGGAATTTCATTTGAAACACTGAAACAAAAATGAAGACTTTATGGGAAAAAATTTAACAACTGCTTTCAATGTGAACACTTATACAACTAAACAACAGAGCAGGATGAACCAGCAATCTAAATGTTAACATAAGTAAATGGAAGACAAAGATTATTGAATGTGCTCCCAAATGCCCTGGTACAGCTGACAGTGGGGAGAGTCACCTCTCCCTCTTGAAATGCTATCAAGTGGCCACGTGCATACAACCACTACCAAGGAAGTCCTACTCACTACCTCCTCGCAGCATTACTGTTGCTTACGAAATTGAGGAACGAAAAACGAATGTCGGGCACCTTAACTGGGTTGGTGGACACGGAGGATCCCTCTAAGGGCGTTGGTAAACACTGATTCCGAATCAGTGGTGCACATGGGCTCCAGTATCCTGAAGGAACAAATGGCGAATGAACCAATTATTGGTCACCGGTTACCATGTGACTGCATCTCCTCACGTTACTCCACTGTCTCGTGGATCAGACCTTTAAGTCGATGACTCCGAGTGTGGCCTCCTAAGAAAATTACCTGGTTCGGTCTGGGCACCTCGACAGTATCCCAGCCGACGCACAAATCAAGTGACTTGTGTGGAGTATATTTACTTAGTGCCTCCTTGTACCAATATTTATGTGTTTAAATAAATAAATAAATAAATAAATAAAATTATTGAATATTCATTCACGTAACATATTCCATGAAAATTGCTCAATATCTACTTTAAACCAAAGAATATGATCTGGTGTGCAGTAGAATAATACACTAAGTATGATTTCAAAAAAGAAATAATAATTGTGTTTTATCTACTACTAATTCTTCGAAATACTATGTATTGGTCTGCTGACTATTATTATTATTATTATTATTACTATTATTATTATTATTATTATTGTTATTGTTATTATTATTATTATTATTTGAACATATTGATATTGGTACAAGGAGGCACCAAATACATGTGCGCCACAAAAACCTCATTCCATTTGTGTGAAAGCTCTGATACTGCCAGGGTGCCCAAACCAATGCAGGTGGTTTTCTTAGAGGGTCAAACCCAGAGCCTTCTACCTAAAGGTCTGATCCACAAGACAGTGGAGCATCGTAAGGAGATGCAGTCACATGGTAACCAGTGACCAATAATTGGTTCATACGCCATTTGTTCTTTCAGGATACTGGAGCCCATGTGCACCATTGGTTTAAAAACAGGGTTTTCCAATTTCTCAACGTGGATTCTCCGTGTCCACTAACCGGGTTAGAGCACCGAACATTCGCTCTTCATTCTCTCAATTTCTTAAACAACACCCCTGCCGCGAGAAAGCAGTGAGTAGGACTTCCCTCGCAGAGGCCATATACGCGTGACCATGTAAGAGCATTTCGAGAGAGAGAGAGAGAGCGGACTCTTCCCACCCTCAACCGTACCAGGGTATTTGGGTGCTGCTGACTAGTGAATAAAAATATGACATCTCATTTTAACTACAATAACGGTGAGACTATAATTTATAGACGACCTTTGAGTAATGCTAGAGTGAACTTGAGTGTCCACATAATAACTAAGACTAAATGAAGATTATAAACCAATGTGTGACGAATTAGAATTATGATTTACAGTTGATGGTTAAGGTTAGGAAATAGATTTTAGGTTTTCATCACAAACTGACATCAGTTATAATGCCAAAACTCTATTTAGACAAAAAGTTGCATAAATTTCACACCAAAACCCGAAACCTGTTATCTTATATCTGATTGATTCATTCATAAATTGTAGTCTCACCCTAATAATTAATGAACAAACATGAGATCTTCCTCATGCTCCAATCTGTCAATTATGTTTTCATTATTATTATTATTTATTTATTTTCCCCTGAAAAAAATTGAAGACTATGGTTCAATAAACTTAAGGATCAAGTAAATAAGCTGCCACAGTAGCCCAACTAGTCTATAACATTCTAGTAAACATGATTGATAAGTTTTTTGAACATAAAGAATAAACAGAATAAAAACCTGAAGATAATAAATATTATTCTAGTACTTACGTATTGATGGAAGTGATGACATATGTGAGATATTTAACTTGTTTGTCATGGATGATTCAGTATTCAGTATATTTTGATTATCCATTAAATGTTGAAATGAAAGATCCATTAGCAATCATTCTATTATTTTTTTTTAAAAAAACAGTGATAAGCAAAGATTTTCTTTTCAATATACAATTATCAAACATGTATATTAATTAAGATAGATAACCATCTTGAAATAACTGGCACACTTAAATTAAACAGTCTCAAGTAATGAGAAAAGATTAGTTGAGGGACATGAATGTAAATAAGTGGGTCATTGGTTTGTTTACTTATTTATTTAAACAAATAAATATTGGTACAAGGAGGCACTAAGTAGATATACTCCACACAAGTCACTTGATTTGTGCGTCGGCTGGGATACTGTCCAGGTGCCCAGACCGAACCAGGTAATTTTCTTAGGAAGCCACACTCGGAACCATTGACTTAAAGGTCTGATCCACAAGGTAGTGGAGCAACCTGAGGAGATGCAGTCACATGGTAACCGGTGACCAATAATTGGTTCATACGCCATTTGTTCTTTCAGGATACTGGAGCCCATGTGCACCATTGGTTTAAAATTAGGGTTTTCCAATTCCTCTACTTGGATTCTCCGTGTCCACTAACCCGGTTAGAGCGCCGGGCATTTGCTTTTCGTTCTCTCAATTTCGTAAACAACATCCCCTTGTCGAGAAAGCAATGAGCAGGACTTCCTTGTCAGTGGCTGTATACACGTGACTATCTGGGAGTATGCCGAGAGGGAGTGCTAACTCACCCCACCCTCAACCGTATCAGGGCATTTAGGGACCCAAGACTGAGCGTGAAATCATCAGGACCCTATCCTGTTAACACAGTAATTCTAATTAGTGTTCATATAATAAGTGTTTCTCATAATCCAGCATAATAAAACTAAACACTGCCACTTGACATCTGCCATCTGAACTGATTAGACGTGCAGCTGAGTCAATATTACTACTTCAATTATTCTGGCATGTGTTCTGATAGTTTTACCTCGGTGTACTAACATAGTGTGAGAACTTCAACCAATGTACTAGGTCAGTCAGTCAGTAACAACGTAGAACTTCGTACGTACGTACATCAGTTCGAGTTGCCACACCACCTCAACACAGAGATGCAGTTGTCGATTCAAATCCCGTAGTGGTAGAATGTACTAGGTCGTATGCTGCTTATGACTGACTTAATTGAAATTATGAGATCAATGATGTTGAAGTGTGGGAATCAAAACTTTCAATAGTATGCAATTCGAATAACATTCGGTTACGATTTTTCACTGACGTAGGAATTAAAATCATAAAGCACTATCAGGAGACAAACAGTATGCAAACTGTAGCAAAAATCTTAGTCTTTATATTTGATTAAAATTATACGGTGTAAAATGGTAATAAAGTCTAACATAATGGAAGCATTGATTTTGTAAGGGTATAAAATAAATAGTTATGAGCCAGATACCCAGGCTTCATAAAACTGAATCGATATATTACGAAAACAAAATGAAGAGTAGTGAATTTCCCAGACGAACAAATCTCAAGGCTATCAAAAACCTAATTAATAATGTAGTCCATCTTCCAGGATCAGGTAGTAGATTTCAACGCTGTTTTGTCTAGTTTAGTTTAGGTACCCTAAGAGTATCAATGGACCACGCCAAAACATGAAATACAGAGCTGGGAACAGAAAATCTGAGCCTGATTGCTGTATTAAATTTGCAATATACTAAAAGACCGAGCAGTCACTAAATATGTACAGGAACTGAGACGATCGTTTCAAAGTACTTAGCATACTTAAACTGAACAGTCTCGATTAGTGAAGTTTTATTTAGGGACCTAGTTAACAACCTGTGGGTCATTAGTTTACATTTTGCTTATCCAGTCAAGTTTTAGGCAGTTAAGTATCAGTAACAACATTCATACAATATATGCTTTTTATAGTCGGACACAAATATATACAGTTACTGAGGCACTATTTACTCATTTAAGGTTATTAAATTACTACCATGCAAATGCTTAGACACCACTGAAAATGAGCTGAGTTTAATCTTACTGGAAACGCTCATTTGGCAGTGTCATTGAAGCCTATACGAGAAATTATACCTAACATAAGACTTCGTTTTGTACCAAACTAACATTTAATACGTCCGTTGTGATTTCTCAAGACAAACATTGATGGCTGGATACATTCATACAGTGAATAAATACTTAAGTACCACTGAATTTAACGGACAAGAACCGGTGTTTTCAACGTGTTATGGTCGCCGACCGTTGCTGATACCTTGACGTGGTAGTCGGGCTTGCCTATCGCAATGAAGCAATCGAGCTATACTGTCTAAAACATTCGTTCCTCAATGTCCTACCATGCGTGACAGGTTGGTCGAATGACGGTAAGACAAAAAGCAGCAAATCCAAGATCTGAGGGCAAAACCGTACTGCTGACTGTCAGTAAGGTGTTTCCTTCAGCCAGCCAGCATAACAGCGATGCTGCCTTCCCACAAAAAGTGGTGGGGTTAGAAAGGGTCGACCCCATGAATTTCGGTCTCCAGCGGTAAGGTCTCAACAAGTACGAAGGTAAAACAAAAATTAACCACAAAAAGTACTCAAGATCACTGTATTCTTAAACAATTTCCTCCCACAATGTCTATTATTCCCGCTACTTCAACTATCAACTCGTGTCACCATAGCCAACGATTCTAGTGCGCAAAATACTTTCCCAGGTCTACTGAAACCTCGCTCCAAACTATACATTGGAGCCTTCAACGTACGCACCCTATGTCAAATCGGTCAGTAGGCTTCCCTAGCTAAAAACCTAGAATCTCGTATCATTGATGTATGCTGTGTCTCCGAAACATGCATACAGGATCCCAGTGTGGTCATTCACTTGACCTCACCTCGGCAAAACGGAGAGCCAACGAGATACACCCTCCGTGTATCTGGTGACCCGACGGCCAGTTCTCGTGAACTGGCAGATGTGGACATAGCACTAAGCATGAGGGTGGAACAAGCACTGTTAGAGTGGATCCCCATCAGTCGTTTATGTGCTGTTCGGCTAAACGGCTCCATAAGAACTCGGAAGGATAGGAGCATACATCGTTGCCTTTTCGTCGTTTCTGCATACGCTCCCACTGACTGCAGTCTGGATGAAGTGAAAGAGGAATTTTACAGAAAGCTGTCTGAACTTCTTCAGAAAGCTAAACGCTCAGACATAGTACTCGTAGCAGGCGACTCGGATGTCCAGGTAGGTAGCTTAAACTACACAGAAGGACATTTAGGTGGGTATTTTAGTATTCCGGCTCAGCGAACAGATAATGGTGATCGTCTGCTGCAACTGTGCTCAGACAATCGTTTATTTTTAGCAAACTAATTTTAAGCATAAGGAGACATCGACTAACATGGAGACGCCCTGCACCAAAACAACGATGGGTTCAAATAGACTATATTGCCATTAGTCAACGTTGGAGAGGCTCGGTCGAAGACTGCCGCTCGCCCTGGAGTATATGTTTGGACGCTGACCGTTGTTATATAAGAAACATGATGTTATATGTCTTAAAAAATTAGTAATACAAATGTGGAGCTGTGAATGAGATAAAACAGCTTACTATAAAAGAACATAAGATAGTCGAACCCTAATACAAACGGAAACACACTTTCGCAAACATCTCTACACAGAGATACACTTGAGAAAAGGTACGAAGTCGAACCTAACAAAGCACTGGGTTTTCAAATTTTTTCAACCGACATTAACTGAAACTTCACAAACAACCAATAATAGGAATATTCTGCTAAAAAAAATAAGGGGATACGCAGCATCAAGTCTCTTTATTTGCCTTTCATGGGGAAATAATGCGATATTTCACCCATTTGTCGCTCTATGTTTGAGATGTCGATAAATCGTCAACTTTTTTTATCTAAATAGGATATCCACCTTTCGGAATTGCATTTTAAAACACGACTGTTACCTGAGTCAATAGCCATAAATACTGTACACGTAATTTCACGTAATCATGTTTTAAAATCGTACGTTAATACAGGTAAGTGATTCATGTAGGATACAAGATAATATTAAGCTTATGACCAACACTCAATAACTAACATTAAACAAGTTTGACGTCCAGCCCACTAAATATACCATCTGAATATCCAAAACCCAAACTCCATCGACTATATTAGGTGTTCTCTTAGTCACATATGACTATAATTATAGTCCACTTAAGTTTACTCGCATAGTTGTATACTGTGGACACATTTCAGATCACATAAAAATACAGAAGCATTCAAACTTGGTCGTACACTAATGGCGGTTAATTATATAATCAATATTTTATTATATTATAATTCTATTACTACCACAAACGACACCTGATACTTTACACCAACATTCTAAGCTAAGGCATGATCAGAATTACGTGAAACTGACTGTAAATTAGATCACAGCTTGGCAATATATCATTCGATTGTTAGTAACCCGAAATTCAACGTGAGATGTAACCCGTAAGTCACAGTTAAATGCAAAGAGATCACTACTGAGCGTGCATTTGAATATGTCTAACCAAATATAACCTTGATGACCTACAAAAACAAACAAAGAAGTTATTTAAAAGGTAGGATGTTTTTAATAATGAGCATATGACTTACTTGATATTTAAGGTTTCGATTTTGTGTTTGAACATCCTAATCAAATGGGTTAACGTGTTGTGCTCACAAGTGAACGTAGATTCTGCCTTTATACATCCCATCACGTAGCAACTTCTCGACGATCTGGTTCGGTAGAACTTGCATCCAGATATTTGGGAACAACTAAGGACTCTTAGAATTTTCACTGATGCATGTCTGACTAGTCTGCCTTCTTGGGATCTGATATGGATGTTAAGACCGCATTTTGTGTTGAACCACTAGTAATGAACTACAATTTGTAGCCAACCTTTTATTTTTACCCACTTTTCCGCTCATCCACGTATAATCACTAACAAGCGCAATATTCGCTGTACTGACAGTAAACAATTTATATGCACCAAATTTATTTTTACTGATATTTTTCTCACCGGATTGAATTGTTCATTTTCATTATTTATCTGTGCCT